AGCAGGCCTGAGCCCAAGCGCCACTGTGCCTCTGGTGTGCCGTGGGCCTTGGGAAAACCACACCTCCCCCATTTCTCTTCTAGAAAATGCCCCTGGTGTTGCCTGCCTCCCTCCACTTCAGGTGACAAGGTGAAGACAATCCACAGGCACAGAAGGCACACAGACGGCTCTGGCCTAGTCTGTGATCTGCGACAATCTGACTCAGCCTCAGTCCGCTGGGGGCTAAGGGCAAGTGGATTCCTCTCTCTGTACCTTGCTATCAGTTCTGTGAATACGGATGTCCCCCAAAAGGGATTGAGGATTAGGTGAAATTACGCATTTGCTTATCTATGTATATAATTTGTGTTTCTAGATTTTATCTTCATTAATACGTATAAATACACATCATTTATCTATATTACGATATAAACACAATTAGGCATCTGATTAATGAAAAACAACCGTCCAAATTTAAAGCAGCAAAAATCATCCATTTCACTCCTGACAACAGTCTGGGCAGGGCTCTGTGGAAAGAGCCCCTCTCTGCCCCAGGGGGCATCCTCTGAGATGGCCCAAGTGGGGCTAGAGGACCCACTTCCAAGGCGGCACAGCCACAAGGCTGGTGAGGCGCTGATGTCAGTCCCTCTCCGCCTGGGCCTGGGCAGCATGGGCTTCCTCATGCTGTGCTTGGCTGGGCTCCTCAAACCAGTGTCCTAAGAAGAGGCCGCAGTGGCCAGTGTCTTAGCTTCTTCCTATAAGCCACCAGTGCCACTTAACCCTAACCAGGCTGTCCCAGAGCCCAGAGTTGAGGGGGTGGGCACAGACTCCTCTCCACAGAAGGTGTGTCAAAAAAAACTTTCAGGCCACGTTTTCCAACTTCCACAGCATTTAAAACAGCTCAGTAGGGGGCACTGGACTCTCAACCTCAGGGTTGTGAATTCACGCCCCAAATTGGGGGCAGATTGCTTTTAAAAAATAAAAAAAAAAAACAACTCAATAAATCTGAGCTGTCATCAGGAGGAAAGTGTCAGCAGACAACACAAGCCAGTGTAGCTGAGGATGCTATCCCCTCCCTCAGCAGCTGGGGAGGGGTGGTCAGGCGGGCTGCACCCAGTAAAGAACAACGCTGGGAAGTGATTGTGAGTTCACCTACACAACAGCCTCTCCCTCCTGCTTTTATGCGTTAGGTTCTGCTTAAGATTTATTTTGAAGGCTCCCCTGGGACACACCCCCCCCCGCCCCACTTCAAAATTTGTTTCTGAGAATGACTAGAGTCCATGGTCCTTAAGTTTCAGGAACATTTGTCCTATTTGGAACACTGGTTGGATTCAACCTGGATAAAGGGGAAGTTTAGCAACCCCCATGTATTTCTGCAGGTGGCAGGATAGGGGATGTAGACCCAGAACTGCCATTTTGGAAACACAGACCTCTGCAAGCCAGGTGTTTCCGGGGGGCTATGGGGTAGGGCAGATGAGAATATGGGGCAATGCTCCCCAGGAAGATTAGAGGTGGTGAAGGGAATTATTTGCCCCTTCAGCAACAAGGCAGAAAGTTCCATCATCTCATGCACCGTAAGACCATCTGACCCTGGTTCCGCAAGTGCAATGGGAAAGCCTCCTGATGGCCGAGGTCCGCTGCGGGGCAGGAGCAGAGGGGGTGGCATGCAAGCCTCAGGTTTACAGCCCCAAGACCTGGTTGCTGCTTCTCTCTGCTACTCCGCCGACGCCTCGCCCTCTCCAGCATCCTATTGCCCAACACCAGCTTCTGCAGCTTCCACTGTGCTGGCTGTTCTCCGCATTCTTACCTGCGGTCCTGCGTTGGCACGAGTTTCCTTCCCCTTACGTGGTGTCGGGGGTGAAGCACAGGACCACTGAAAGAGAACTACTGAGAGGCTCGAGCGGGAGGGCCGACCCATGGTCCGGGGCAGCTGGGCCGGATTTTCATATAACCTAACGTTTAACAGGCTACTTGTTACATTTGGCAGCATTAAAAAAAATACTAATTACATAACTGCATAAAACGCACTGGTTACTCTTGCTAATCGGAATATTCTTCAGAGAGCTCCCTGTGGAGGTTCCTCGGGATTCCGTCCCAACCCAAATCTGACATTCCAAGGGGAAGCAAAGGAATAAATTCCTCCTTAAATTCAGGGTTGGTTTTTTTTTGTTTGTTTGTTTTTTATGATGCTATTCCCTATCCCGACACTATAGATGGGATAATACATTCTCTGGTATTATCCCCAAATTCTTTCATATTTCATGTTTACATATCCAACTGGCCTGAAATTTACTTTTATGTGCAATAGGATTTAGAAATCTGAGTTGCTGTAGGCACCTTTTGAAAGAGTAGACAGTAGGTCTCATTCCATCTTCCACAAATCCTTGCTTCCTCTGCAATTCCTCTTTTGTTCCAGATTTCCACCTGCTTCAGAACTTTCTGTTCTGCCTCACTGCTTCAAGGACTCACGGATACCAGGCTGCTTTAGATTCTGGCGTCCAAGGACAAAGCCCCTTCCCTCGCTCCTGACCATTTATCACTGCCCACCCACACGAGCCCCACGGAAGTACCTCTGTCAGGGATACAATGTCTAACTACAGGGAGAACTACTAGAATATTGAACTCCTCCAGCTAGAACACAACATGTCCTTTTATTCAGCTCTTTCCCCCATTTTTTTCAGCAAAGTTTTATAATTTTATCCATTCGAGTCCTGGACAGCTCATTCGGTGTATTCCCAAATACTTAATAGTTTTTGTTGCTACTGTGTTAAAAAGTTTTATAAGTCACTGACACTGTTGGGGAATGCCACGGATTTATATGCTTCCATTGGTTTGGACTTTTGAAGACTTTTTCATCACAAAGTCAAATTTTTTCTTTAGCTAAACAAAGTTTTAATTTGATTATTTCCTCTACGGTTTCATACCTCTCTTTCCCCTTTGCACTGATGTCAGGCAGAATCATGTACCTTCGCCTTCCAGCTCACTGTATGTGCATCTATTTTGTCTTCAGCTGGACTAAGTTTATGATGTGTTTCATTTCTAAAAACTGAGTGTTTTCCTTACCAGTTTATTCTCTTTTTAACAGATGAGATGGCCTTTGAATCACCTTCTGATTCCCATACTGGTATTTCAACAAGGGGTGGATACTGTTTCGAGATGCTGCCTGTCCTCAGATGACTGGGGACTCTGGCACGTGCTCCCGTCTGCAGAGGCGCCCCTCCTTGAGAGGGCACAACGCAGCTTACCGCAGACTGGGCTCCGAGCGGCCTCCTGCAGCAGGGACTCCTCGCGCGGTTGGCCAGGGCCTCACTTCTCGTTCTCTCGTCTTCTTGCTGGAGGACTTCCTTCTCTCTTCTCTACGTCATATCTTCTAGTACGAATTTCAATGTTATACCATGTATTTGTACATTTAAAAAATATCTTAACCTATCCCATTTGAGATCCGAGCAGAAAAGGACAAAAATTTACTCAACCTTTTCATAGAAACATGGAAACTGATTTCTGAAATTTTTCAGGAGTACAGAGCAGATGCAGCCTGGAACTTGCTTGTTTCACGAAATCTTTTTCATACATGCGTTTTCTTCACACCTCACGTATCAGGTCTCTCTATACTGAGACAGTCTTTCACAGGACCTATGTTGTTCTGCTTTCTGTTTACTCACCAGTATGTGGATTGTTTTCCAGAAACTGGCCGAATGGTTTCTCCTCAGGTTCTGCTTTCTCACTGTGTGGTCATAGACTTTCCGATCTCAAACAGGACAGACTGCTCCCAGCTCAACAATCTAGTCATCTGGGGACTGGGGAGGGGCCCAACCATGGGTTCTCAGGCCGGGGAACATAGGTTGTGCGTGCTTCCTCTGTCCCGGGAGAAGCCCATATGCCAGGGCCAGACCACACCACACCAGGGCTGCCCCGAGGCAGAAATGGTTCTTCTTCGGGCCTTTCTAGATGGTGTGCCCAACAGAAACCCCTCACAAACATGCTCTTCAGCAGGCTCAGTGCTGCTACCTCCCCTGCCCACTTCCACTGATCTCAGCATCTGTGACAATCCGTCACCTGGGAAGTGGCTCCAGGGCCATTGCCACCAACACTGATACCCAAAGTCTTGGGAACAAAAAGCTAGATCACCGAGCACCTGCCTTATACTGTGAGCACTCGTCCTGTGAGGCCCGGAGAGACTGTCACTCCCAGGCTGTCCGCGACAGGAGAAGGAGAAAAGGCGTGTAGGCTGGTACGTTTGGGATACTTACATTTCAGGCACTTGGATCTTGGGTTTTGCTTATACTAAACTATTTCCCACAAATATAAAAATGATGAATTCATTCAGATGATCTGTTTATCAACATATCTGGAAGGACAGCAAAGCCAAGCAAGCTGGCCCAACTGGGAGGGGATGACTCAATAGCCCCAGGCAGGCTGGTGTCGGGCACAGGACACGCTCCCAGTGCTGTGATCAGGCGCGCTCCTCCCTCTCTTGGCTCTGATGCATCCATCCACGTCTCCCGTTTTTCCTGGGCTGCTGTGTATCTGCCAGGTGCCCTTGCAGCTGGGGCGCAGGGCAGGGTGAACAAGACAGCCACAGACTCATTTCCTGATCTCCTGGAGTACTACTCTAATGATGAAAGATCAATGATAAAAAAGTCAACAACGACTAAACAAGAATATGTCAAATACAGGAAAATATTATGGAGAAAAAAAAGAAAACAACAAGTAAACAAGGCACTGTCCCCCCCCCCCCCCCGCCCCCGGAAAAAACCCCTAAAAATGTAAGGAGTTAGATGACCAGATTCGGCGCCAGGTGACAAAATGTAACCAGCCACGTGGATGGGGTAGATGGTTCAGGGGGAGAAGAGTGGGCCCAGAAGCCCAAAGGAGAGGAGCTGGACTGTTTTTCAGATATTTTTGCCCTTCGTTTTACTCATGACGCCTGGGGAAAGGAGCCTGCACTTAATGAGCAACCTAAGGGCAGACTGACTTTTTGACATACCCACAGTATTTTCATTATAAAACCAAGGATAAAATGCTTTTGCAAAGGGAGATAGTGCCTCAAGGTTTTATTCAAAGTACCTGCAAGGCGTACCCTCTTGAAGTACGATCGTGTGCTTAAAACATGCTCAGTAAGACCCTCTGGTGAAAAAATTAAAATTTTGAACACATATACGTTAAAAAAAATAGAATCTCCACTTGTGCTTACTTTGACTTTTTGCCCAGGATCAACTGCAAAAGCACTTCTGTTTAGAAAGCATAGTTCAGCCAAAATCCAGTTTTGTTTTTTAGGAACAGAGAAATGGAGGAAAAACCCAAGAAACATCAGGCATTGGGCAAATCCGTGTGAGCATCTCTGTCACTGTCTGATGTAGGCTGGGACCGCCTTCTCCACGACCAGTACCTCCTACAAGACAGCGAGGAGTGCAGGGTGTTCAGCCAGAGATGGGGAGAGGCTGGAAAGGCAAGGCAGGCACAGAAGTGAGACGCACACCGCCCGCACATCAGATTGGCCCTCCATCGCTGACACGAGCACGGAGCTGTGACAAGCAGTCTGCAGCCAGGGGACTTGGCTTCTGCGATGTGAACACAGCTCTCCCCCTGCAGTCACACCAGACCAAGGATCCAAGGACAGCAGGGTGTGCTTGGCATCTGACCCCTGCTAGGGCCTCCCCCCACTAATCTGCCCTCCTCCCAGTTCCAGAGCACAGGCGCGCTCCTAACCGCTGTCACCATTTACTCCCACTTGTTCATCACCCGCTCGGTTCCCCACAGCCTCTGGACTACCACAGAGAAACCAGCAGGGCTGTAGCGCCCAGCAGGCAGGCCGACGGACCCAGACAGAGCAGGGCCTGGATGTGCCAGCAGTGCACTAATGGCTAGCTTCCTACTCATCAGGAGGTCCCAGGCAGTGACAGAGGCTGGGACATCCTGGAAAGGACTGGACCCAAAGCAGCTCATGCAGCAACACTCCGCTGAGTCCCGAGTACAGGCCCCTTAAGTTCCACAGGGACCAGAGCAGCACACATCATCACAGGTCTGAGACAGCCGAGTGACAGTCAGGGTACGGCTCGTCTGCACGGCTGCCTGTCTCGTCGCCGGCCTTCTGCTGCCTGGCCAGTGCCACCTTCAAGGTGGCAGCACCCAGGCGCAAGCCCTGCAAGCAGGAGACAGCCTGCTGGGCTGAGGTGGGGGCCTTGTAGTGAAGGAAGGCCCTGCGCTTTGGCCCCTGCCACGTGAGCCTCTGAGGGACTGCACCCAGTTCTCGGAGGGCTTTCTTCAGCTCACTCACTCGGGCGTCCCGGGGAAGGTTGCCAATGTAAACAGTGTTAGAAGGCCCATCCTCCCCCTGCCCCGAACAGGATTCGGGCTGGTGTGGGTCTTGGGGTCTTCTGACAGTGCTCAGGGGAGGTGGCTGCTGGCTGCCGGTTCCCAGAAGGTGCCGGGGCTCATCCTGAAGGGAGACATCTTTCCCAGCCTGCCTCTCTCGGTAACGAAGACTTCTGAGTATTGGGATTTTCCCCATCACCTCACAGCTGATCTGAAAAAGCAAAGCAGTTCCAGCTATTCTCCAGGTGTCCAAACTTGGTCAGAAGGGAAGAGAAATCAGAGTCGCACAGGGGCCTCTGCCTCTACTCAGGTAAGTAGTCTCTCTGCCGAGCTGCACCAGTGGTCCAACCTAAGCCCTTTGAGAAGGAGGACCCCTCTGCCTTAATCAGTTACTCTGACCCAGCCCCCATGCTGCCCCAGCTTAAATGAATATGGGATCCCCAGAGCCACTCTGGACTGTCACCTCTGGACTGTGCCTGACATGCCATGGCAGCGGGCAGGAAGGGAACGGTTTTCTCTACGCTCCTAGAGGCCCAGGAAGCAGAAAACCAAAGGCCTCCTATGCAGAAAGGACAGTAGTAAGTACGGTTACTGGAAGGAGGGTTACATGGTCACAAGTGGCAATGCCCCTGGTGACCTCCAGAATAATTGGGTTTTCTGCCTCTATGCCTGCCCCCGTCTCCCGACTTATGCCTTTGGGTGGGATGGGATCTTTAACAGGGCCACCTGGGCCGCCTCCTTCTCCCCATCTTCACTGGAGGTGCATTTCTCAGGGACCAAATCTTTCAAGGTGTCACTGAAAATGCAGAAACAAGGCAAATCTGAAAGAGCACTACTTTTGAAAAACAATTTCTAGCAACAGGTCACCAAGCTACAAGGTAACACTATTTATAACGTTAAGTCTCAATGAACAGGATTCCTATACAAAGGACATGTTTGGCTTTTTGGGAACCGGCACAACAAAGGAGGCGGTAGAAGAACCCCAATACATGACGTGGTTTCTGGTCCTCAAGAACTGGGACTGACAAGCGGGGCCTGCATGCATGCACAGGAGCTGCCTCGATCCAGCTTGCAGCGTGTGGAGGCTGATGGTCCCGGCCCGGTGTGGCCGCTGCACACGGTGCAGCCCTGTGGGTTAGGCTGGACCTGGACAGCGCAGCCCAGGGCAGAACCGGTCTTCTGTCACTTGAGGAATCACACGGCAGAAAAGATACAGAAACACACTGTTTAAGTCCTTCTTAGCGATCCTCATTCTTTAGAGATGCTTTCCGTCCTTCTTTAGGGCACAAAGCCTGAAACTGGTCAATTACCAAAAGGCAGGCAATGGTCCAAACATGGGACTTCCCACAAACATGGGTAAATCAGAATAAAGATCAGCATAGGAGTTAGGTAAAACTTCCCTATAAAAATAAATAGCTCAACTAGTAACAATGTTCTCGTTGTATTCAGAATCCTATGTAACTAAAGTAATGGTTCTTATCCTTGCCAGGGTGTCAGAGACCTTTGAGAAAAGCTGGGTTTCCTTCCCAAGACGAGTCCCCAGCAATTTTGTGTGCAATTTCCCAAACTCTATTCACAGATCTCCAAACCACGAGAGGTACACAGGCCCCAGGTTACGGATCAGTGATTCAGAGGAAGATTCAAAGAAACTCAAACACCTAAGAACGGTCGATTTGAGTACCTTCTCACAAACTTTAAGGCTCCTGATTCTCATTAATTTGAAGATTTTTTTTTTTTTTTTTTTGACAGAGAGAGAGACATAGCGAGAGAGGGAACACAAGCAGGGGCAGAGGGAGAAGCAGGCTTCCCGCCGAGCAAGGAGCCCGATGCGGGGCTCGATCCCAGGACCCTAGGATCATGACCTGAGTGGAAGGCAGATGCTTAATAACTGAGCCACCCAGGCACTCCCCCCTCATTAATTTAGTAGCTGGTTCTCTCTCCTAGCACTAAGTGGACAATACTCTCCACCTTGGCACAGCCTTTCCACTGGGTCAGAGCCCTCTCCAAATGGACAGTACCCTTGCTCCCAGGCACAGCCACATCAGAAGCCTCTGCAGGTGGCACTTGTCTACTGGGGTCTTCAGAGTAGCACACAAATGCCTGGCTGCCATAGACTTCTTAAAGAAAGACCTGCTCCTTCTAATGTTTCCCATTATTGAGACGCAGAGAAACAAACAAAAACCATGTCTGTGCCCTGGAGATATGTAGGAGATGTAGCTACTCTTCTAATCAAAAGGAAGTTTTCTTCCACTTGACCCTCTGCAGTTCTTCCGAACTGATTCATCCAAAGATGACTAAGCTCATGGGCCAGTACCCTAAGAGGCTCTGGTCCCAAAGAATCCTGAAGATGATCTAAGAAGCCAACCAACTCCTTCCCACACCCCCATTCCACCTTCTCAAAGAGTTCAGATTCTTGTGTCCTTCCAGAGTATTTCAAAACAGATTTAAACTGGTCATAATTAGATTATTTTTGTTTTAAGTAGGCTCCATGCCCAGCGTGGAGCCCAACTCGGGGCTCAAACTCACAACCCTGAGATCACAACCTGCACGGAGACCAAGAGTGGGATGCTTAACTAAGCCACCCAGGTGCCCCTAAAACGGTCATAATTAGACTCTTAAGGATATCTTAAATTACTACATCTAGTACTTAGAAAGGACGATCAGATTTAAAATTGTAATTACAATCAGAGGAACCATGTGACTACATTCTTTTATCGAAGAACTGAATGTCATCCCCTTGTGACACCAGTAGACAGGAGCAGTGAGGACAAACTCCCTGGTAAACACATCACACTTTCTCCAGCTCCCGCTCGGAGCTGTCCTGGCTGAGGGACCACCCCAAGTACTAAAACTCCCATGTGCTTCCGCCTGGTAGAACCACAGGGTGTCCTCAGGCCAAAGCAAGTGTTCTCAGGAAACCCAGTCCACAGGGCAAGGCTCCACACTTTAAAATCCATTTAAAACATGTCATGTGAAGCAAAAATACATCCTTCTCTGCACATCACAGGGAGCTACTTTATCCGGAGCTGGCACATGGACAAACTATAATCAGTTGAATAACAAGAATGTTTTAACCATGTACAGATTATGAACCAAGTCTACAGCACCATCACACTGACTGACACACACATATACACACACACACGGATCTTTAGAAATGGAAATGGCCAAATGCGTCACTTTTACATAAAATTGCTCATCTCAAGAGCAGGATGTTTTTTTGGGTAAGGAAAGACAAAGCTTAATGTCATCTCATGCTTCTGCACCCTCAAGTTCTGAATGGAAAAACCTCCCTGTCTACACTTTCTCAGCTGTTTGCCATTTCTGTGCTCCTTGCGGAGTGGCTTGGGCTGATGGCGGTCCCACAGCCACACAGAGGCCTCTGTGCACCAGCTGGACGGGCTGGCTTCACACTCAGGACAGTTCGCGGCAGGGCTATGCTGTTTTTCCTGGCTAGCAATTAGGAACATTTGTTATGTCTGTAAGAGTGCCATGTGAAATGAAAGATTTTGCCCGTTAATCAAACATAAAAAAATATTTCTGCTTTTCTCTAGCCATTCCATTAAATAGTATAGAGCAAATTTGATTTTCTTTTATGCGCTACAACCACTCTTCTCTGATGTTTACAGATGTCACTTATAAATATACATTCTCTGTAAAGATTAAATGAAAAATCCTATCCCCTAGAAATACATGCTAAACCCAATACAGATCAGAAATCTCACTCTCAAGGCACCTGTGGCCAACCCAGGAAGAGACCCCAGTTCTAATCTTGCCTCCACTACGCACCGGCTTCGTTGCTTTTCCTGGCTCTCACTTTACCTGCCCGGAAGAAACAGAGACTGGGAGGGATGGTCTTTAGAATCCCCCTCATTCTACAATGCCAGGACACGTTTGGGCAGCCGCTGACAATCAAACAGGAACACCGTCAGTATTTCTAACGTGAAACACCACTTCCACAGAAATTACCAGTTGTCTTGCATGAGACGAATGTATATCATTCACTGATCGAAAATACTTTTAGATACGGCACTTTCCAATGACCAAGGCGAAATCATTCGATCGAGTAAGCATGCAAGGATACAGGAGAGTCAGTGAATGCACGGTCTTCCAGATGTCATTCATGTATTGCAGGATTTGTTTGCTTTCCAATTAGTGTCTCTTAAGGATAAGAGGGCTCATTTAAGACATCTTCTTGCACAGAGCTGATCAAAAGTGTCACTTACTAATACAAAAGCCCCCATAGCGTTAGTCCTTTACAATTATGCTTTTACTGTGGGTGCTGAAGGACCAGCAGGGCAACGACCACACACCATCACTGCTTCAGACCACGCCAACAGTCAAGCAGATGGTGCTATTTGGGAGTGGCCATGTAAGTCACTAAGAAAAACTATTTATTTTCTGGTATACATGATCATCTTAAAACCTTTGCCACAACAAGATGCCAGCTTCCATCTGCAAACCACAGCTCCTGCCTATCCTATGCTCTTCAGGGGGAGGGGGGGGGGCAGCGTAACAGACAGGCCCACAAGAGCAGTGAGGTCCCCTCCTGCTGGGCCAGTTCAGAGCTGAGTGTGGGACGAGTTCATGCCCGGCAGCTCTAGGCTCAGTTCCACACCCAAGTGTCTGCCACATGGGGACGAGTGGCCCATGCGGCCCGCCTCACATACAGACATATGCTTTGCACAAGCAACTTGGACAGTCCAGTGTCACTGCCATGCACAAGCACATGACTTCTAAGAACTGGCACACATTTAACTATCTTGCATCTTGGATTCTCGTTTTTACCACTTAGGAGTGTGCAGAGAATGGAGGCTCCTTGTGGAACTGGAGACAAACACACCTGGGCAGAAGGCTGCCCTTGGAAAATGGTTTCAAATGTCCTGTTTTCTCTACTGAAGAGTGTTGACTATAAAAGTGTATATTTTCTGTGGGAAATTTAGAAAACAATGAAAAGAAATCTGAATTCCCAGCTTGCAGAGATAACGAATGTTATACCTACGGGTCCGCTCCCCCGTTTTTTTTGGGGGGGGGGAGGGGGTAGAAAGAGAAGGAGACAGAGAATCCCAAGCAGGCTCCACCCCCAGCATAGAGCCCAAAGGGAGGGTCGATCCCACGACCCTGCAGTCATGACCTGAGCCCAAAGAAGGAGGCGATGCTTAACCGACTGAGCCACCCAGGCACCCCTCCATCTTTTTTCTATGCACGTTTCAGCATAATGAATACAAAATGATATACCAAACATGTATAAATTTATACTGTTTTTTTCCACTTAATATTGATTACACCATAAACATTTTCTCATGCCATTAAATACTCTTTAAAAAGGCTGTATGCACTTAAATTACAGGGTTGCAACACTTTAAGGCACTACATTATACTGGATACACATGCATCTCTATCTAAATTTGTAAGTATTTTTCTAGGACAGATTCCTAGAAGTTCAAGTATTGGGTCAAATATAGTGAATCTCTATGGAAGTTATCAGCCTTTCTAACTTGCTGGCCCAGTTGTGGGTAGGTGTCAGATCACATTTGGCTGTCACTTCCAGACAACGCTGATATATGGGGTTGGAAAGCGAGTGTCAACGTCCCAGAATGGCTGTTTCTCACAGAAGTCCTTTTCCCAAACCCTTTTTCTCAGGGCATCTGTCATTCTCAGCAAGTAAATCAACAGGGCATGGTGACCATCTGGGGACAACCTTCCCAAACAGCTGTGGACGCTACAAACTTGCTTCTTTGAGTCTATATACAAAGAATAACCCGGGCAGGATCCCATCCCTTAGCAAGGAGAAGATAATTCAGACAGGCAGACATCCAGATTTGGGTCAATGGTGTCACACTGCTCTCCTCTGTAATCAGTGATGGCACCTTTCCCACAGTTACTATGGGGAGCAAGGGGGTCAGGAAGCAGACCTTTGATGTGTGGCTCTGGTGGCAAGGAGCAGTCTCATGGGTGCCCTGGGTCTCTCTGGGGCTGCAGCCACACCCCGCTGCCTGACCATGTCTCCAGGGCATTCTTAAAATAAGTATTTCATCTTCCCTCGGCCTCATTCTAGCTCAGCAGAAAGTAATAAAAGAGGTATGGGTCTCGGCTGTCCAGAGGCTCAGCCCAGTGGGGCTGTGTGTGTTTGGCAAAGCCCGGCACCTTCGCCTTCCCCGAGCAGAGGGCTCCATTCTGCTGCTGCTTTCCAGGCGCTCACGTGGGTCCAGCAGGCAGCCAGGCTCCCAAGAGGATGCTTCACTGCCCTGTCGTGACTCACCCGACACCTTGCAGCCCTGGGAACTGACTGCGCTGTAGGGGAGCTGCCGAAAGCTAGCTCCTGGGGACTTCGGCCACCATCAATGTACTCCTGCCAGAGCTAAGGGATGCAGGCAAATGGCTCCTGAGCCACTGCAGATCACCTTACACACAGATGTCCACAGGCAGGGACATCTGGATTACTGTCCCAGAGACTGAACGACCACCTGAGCTGAAAGCGCAGCCCAGAGGTTTAGGACACGCCTCAGTGGCCAGGTCTCTTACACCACGCACCAGCCAGGCAGAGATCCTGGGGAAAGCACGTCCTTTCACCAAGAGGGTAGACCTGCTGGATTAGGGGGGGCTCTGGGAGTTCTAGGTTCTCAGGGGAGGCAGCTTGTGGATGAAGTGGGGCAGTCACGGCACCTTGTAGCTCAGACATGGCCAAGTCCCCCAGAGTTCTACAGGTCATCAGATGCACACCAGGTGAGAGGCTGCCCTGAGGGAAAGGAGGACCCCATGTGAACACAGCAGACGCACCTTCTGGAAGGAATGTCTCTTTCTCTTCCACTGAGAGGCAGTAAAGGGCACACGGTGATAACAATGCCACAGAGAGACAGAGACAAGGCCCCGTCTTGGCTCAGCAAACCACTCAGAGGATAACTGTAAGGATTCTGCCCGAAGCGACGGCGTCCAGGTACATTTCTCACAATTACTGACTTGCGTTTCACACCTGTGACAGCCACAACGGTGACAATGGCCAAGTTCAGCAGACACTTCGCGTGTACTGCCTGTGAGGTCAGCACTGACAGCACCCCACTTTACAGATAAACAAACGGGGGGCTTGCAGAGGGTGCACCAAGGTCACAGATAGAGCGACTGAGACGTGCTGCTGCAGCTTCTAAGCTCATTCTAAATCACTGCCCCGGGGCTCTGGGGTGGCTCAGTCGTTGAGCGTCTGCCTTTGGCTCAGGTCATGGTCCCAGGGTCCTGGGATTGAGCCCCGCACCGGGCTCCCTGCTCTGCAGGAAGCCTGCTTCTCCCTCTCCCACTCCCCCTGCTTGTGTTCCCTCTCTCACTGTGTCTGTCTCTGTCAGATGAATAATTAAAATCTTTAAAAATAAATAAATAAACCACTGCCCCATCTGGTCTCCTGTCTTTAAAACCACAAGGCACAGGCAGAGAAAAGCAGGGGGGCTGAGGAAGTAGCTATAGGTGGACAGCTGAGTCTGTAGCAGCCTGGTCCCCTGGCGGGGACACCACGCACATCTCTGAGAAGGTGGGACAAAGGCCAGGGAGTCAAATGCTGCACAATCTTTGTGCGGTAAGAACGAGTTAATACATTCTGTATGTATTTCATAACCTTCATCTGAGAGGTCTACAGTGTTTAGAAGGAACTGTGATTCCATATGTTCCAACAAAATACACATGAGGCAAATTCTGGGATTCTACTACCTACACGATAATAAGTCTGTGGGTAGAAAATCACAGGATATGCCAACGTGTATCAAGGAGTCCATGTGAAATAATACCATACCCTAGCACTGAATGTCCCCCACCCCTCCCCAAATATTCAGTGGAAGTCAGGGACGGTTTCCCCAATGCGGACGAAAATTCACTCTGGTTGCATAAGTAGCGAGGCCAGAACAAAAGCCCCAGGGGCTGGAGAAAGTCGCTGCTTTCAAATGATTCATGCAAAGGGAGGCCCAGATGTGGAAGAACAAAGAACACAGGGCCCCAAGATAAGAAATGGCATTTTCAAAGTCTGTGATTCTTGCCCAGGCCTCACTAGCGATGGGATGTTCCAGGAAGAGGGCGAGTCGGTTGGGATGTCAACGAACAGCACTGGCCCCGACGGGCTGCACACGGTATGGCCAGCCGTGTTGCTGGCGACTCTGGCTGCTGTGGCTTCCTTCCACATAGAGGGAGTCTCTTCACCTCACATGACCAATAACATCATCTGTTGCTATTTTTGTATTTTTATTAAAATTAGCGGGAGGTAACTGACTACTCCCCAAAGCCACACCCTTTCTCCCTCTTCCTGGAGAGACCACCTGGAATCTTCCTAAGGTGGGCTGCAGTCGGCCCTTGGCTATGAAGTGCTGGCCTCCGGAGGACCTGAGGCCTCACTGTGACCAGCCCCTTGGGCAGCCTCCCCAGGCCCATCGCCTCAGCTGTGAGCAAATGCCACCTCGCTCCTGTGACCCACGTAGCAGCACTCACTTAAGGAGAAGCTGTGGACCCGACTTCCAAGGTAAACCCAAGCTCTTACGAAAGACACCAAGGGACATTTGAATATTCAAAAAGGATGCCAATGCCTTCCCCATGGCACTGGGCCTGCACCGGAGAGACCCATCCGCTTGCTTCTGGGTCATGCGTGCCCCTCCTCTCTGCTTTTCCCGGGACTAACCTAGGAGGAGCACAGGCCCCAGGGGGCCCAAACCGCCTGGCTGTGGTGTTTGTGGGAAAGGCCCACTGTGCCGCAGTGTTCCATTTTGGTGTCAACCTTGGAGTTGGATGTTATTGGTTTTCCAGGCCCAAGGGAAGGCTGCTATCCAACTCTGATGATTCACGTTTAAGGAACGGAAGACATGGAACAACAACGGCTTCAATCCAAACGAAGCACAACTCTCCCTGTTTCCTCAGTAACTCTGGCTGCTTGCCAGCAGGCAGGATCATAACCTATAGGTTGGCCTCTGGGATCGAACTCCTTCTGCAGACTATTGTAATGTGTGCCCCTGACTATTCTGCAGATAGAGGTCACAAAGGCATCAGCTAATGAAAGCTGTGGGTACTGCTTGGAGACCCAGGTCACAGCAAGACAAGCTGGACTTAGAAGAGAAAAGCTGATGAGACAGTACGTTGTTGTGGCCAGGATGGTGGGACACAGCTCTCAGAGGTGAAACCCGCTGGCAAACAGGGTGTCAAGGCATTGGCCCTCTGAGTGGACTGTTCCTTCTGCCATCTAGAACTGGTGTCTTGCAGCAGCAGATCTTGAACCTGGTTGCTTATCAGAATCCCACAGGTTTGCAAAGGAGATTCTTGGGCCCATGGCTGGAGACCGTGATGCAGGAGCTGAATTTTCAAAAGCTTACAGATGATTCTAATGCACAAACATGCTGGGCCTAGGGAGAGCTGCCATGCCAAAGAATACCACACAAGAGAAGATGCCTCTGAACTACAGGCCATTGCTGGCCACAGGACCCACCTTGCACCACAAGATTCCCGTTGGTTTTGGGCGCTCGCACCCCGTGGCAATGACTCTCGTCGGAGTGAGAATGTAGTCCACTGTTAGGTCGTGGTCTTCAAGCAGCGCTTCAGGTATGTCGATGACCTGGTCAAACAGAAGTGGGTGAGGGGGCTGACAGGGAATGCGGCTCCTGTGCTCAAAGCACTGCACAGTAGAAGCAAAGGGCTCACCAGACCCATGGGGATAAGGCCTCACTGCCACACAGATCCAGCTCTGGCTGATCACCACTCACAGCAGACGTGGAATGAAGGCAGAGACCAGTTTGTCTCCTTCCCTCCCCGCCCACTCTCTCAGGGGGGGTGTGGCAGTAGCCTCTGCTTGGCCTGTTCACGGGCAGCACCTGGCAGTCATGGACGATGGTGACCACGGGCGTCCCCTGGCTGACCGCTCCCATTGACACCATCATGGCATATTCCAGATCAGCGTAACCTTCTCCCTTCCCAATTCTCCAGCCTAAGAGACACGCAGAGCATCAGTATCTCAGAAGGAAATGTTTCATTAGGTCACAGCGGAAGCAGAAACTTGGACTCAATATCCCTGGCACCTCCTCAGAAACTTCCACAGTGAGCCCACAGGCAGCCCTCAACAGTGGGGTTCAGGGGCATGCTGACGGCTGCCTACATACAGGGGTCAGCACACGCTGTGTGAAGCCTGAGCCTCTCAGATGTGTTACAAAAAGAAACAGAACCTGTGTTTATGTAAGCAGAACTCACATTTAAAAGCAATGAAAGAGTAGTTTTCAAAAACACTAAGAAAAAATTCCTACTAAAACCAAAATCTTTTTAATCAATTTCTCTTGGAGGGGAAATAAAAATTAAAATCGGAATACGTGATTTAAGATGACATCGCCTTGTCTTCTGAGAAGTCCAGCAGTCCCTGGAAGAGGGCTGGGTCTGGCAGAGCTAGTCCCATACTGTGTACTCCTAGGTGGGACCCGCGGAAGTTGTAGCTGAAGCTGCATGAGAAGCTACAGAGCACATAAGAATGCAGCAAAACGGAAAACATGACAATGCCTCTGGCTCCCACAAGAACCAATGTATTCCGCCATCAGGAAGGCCGTGACGCTGCAGAAATTCTAACTTCTGCTTAACATCAGCATCGGCATCCTCACCAAGGGCATCACTGCCCATGCACCCTTCTGAGATTCTCATCTGTCATGCTCCTTTTACAATTACCAACCTCCAACCATGTGAGCAAATAAACGTGAGAAAGACAGTGCAGAGGAGAAATGGCAAAGGACAGAACAGTTCACAGACAGAGGCAGGCAGGTGAGCGGCAAACGTGAGCAATGACCGCCTTCCCTCCCCATTAAAGGCCAATCAGATGGCACATGAACCACCACTGTTCAATACTGGATTGGTAAACATGGAAGTCTGATGATTCTAGTTATTGACGAGGGAATAGGGAGAGACGTGAGGTGTACGGTACTGGGGATGTGAGGTAGGCAACCTTTCTAGTGGGTTATTTGGCAACAGCCACCAGGATTTCAAGTCCACCCTTCGGTTCAACAATTCCTCTGCTGGAGTTATCCCACGGATGGCCCTCGAAGGCACAAAGAAACTCTACCACAAGACTACACCTCACTTTAGTGTGATCTGTAAGGGAAAAGCCCAAACCAAACCCTGGTGACCTCTTAAGTGCCCACCAGTCTGCAAGGATGGGCAAAGACCCTGGCCAGACACCATCTAGCAGGACACAAAGTGGTGTATGCGCTGCTGCCCCTTCTGGGAAAACAACGAGGACAAACGTAACCTGCACAGAGAATGCAAGGCATGGGCGGACATGGGCGGACTCATGGGCCATTGCTGTGTGTCAACACAAGGAACCGCCAACGGTGGGCATCTGGGAAGAGCACAGGTGGTGTTTTCTGTGCTATTCCAATTTTCTACACATGTGCATGATGACTTCTGTTGTGTTAATTGGGGGTTATCTGAATGATGACATTTATAGAATACTGTTTTCTTCTTCATATACCCTCAACTAAGAAAGAAAACTCCTGATCTTTTCAAAAGAAGACCTCTTTGTTAACTTCCCACTGCCAAAAGAGTATAACCCCAATCCCGTCCTCTGGCCTCCTGGTCTCTGGAAAGCCAACCCCAACCTACTGAAGGACCATCCTACGTGAACACATTGCCACTTCTGTCCGAAAGTCCTCTCCTGCTCCACCTCTCTCCAAAACACCTAAGCCTGAGGTCACTTCTGAGACGCTGCCCTGCTCAGGGCCTGAGGGCGGCTCTTGGGACCCCACCACCGTTGGTTCTGACGTGTGTGGAGCAGCAAGCACACCGTGCCGGAGTACAGCTGCTGTCTGCTCTTCCAGCTCACTGGGGGCCCAAGGCAGTGACCACCCAGGGCTGGCCGGACACCTGGCGCACAGCAGGCACCCAGGAAACATGTGCTCATGGGAACCCCTCCCTGATAACACAGATAAAGCGCTGTAACTGGGAATACAGAGAAAGCAAAGAACGAAGCACTCCAGCGTCTCCTGTACTAGCGCAAAGAGCTGGCAAACACCGTGTACTCCAGCTGAAGATATGAAGGTCAGCATTTAAAAACACGATGCTCGGGGTTTGGAATGAATGACTTAAGAGCATCTCTCACCAACCATTTGTTGGAAACCAGAAACCTCTCTTGAAGGAAGATCTTGGCTTTGGCTGGTTAATTTCCAAAGGGACAGTTTTAAGGATAGGCATCTTAGAACAGTCTTTTTCCTCTTGGCGGGGAAGGAGGAGAGAGAATGCTTTCCTAGCAGGGGGCCCAAACCACACTGTGCAGGTGCCAGTCTGCGACAGGCTGGCCTCTCGGGGAACCCACCGAGCCTGTGGCAGTACAAGCAGCAGTATAACCAGATCGTCTCCGAAGAGTCAAGCCAGGCCTGGAATAGAGCAGCGGAGGGGCAAGAGGTCCCAGGGGAACCACAGGGGCCCAAGTCCTGCAGGCGGCTTGGCAGAGAGCAGAGAGCAGCGTGGGACACCCTCCCCCCTCACCTGCCTGAACGGCACAGCACCAGGCCTCCCCAGGCAGGCTCAGGACACCCTGTGTTGCCCAGAGGCTGCTGCTGCCTACCAGAAACAAGCTTTAGAACCTAACGTTTTTCCATTCCCTGGAGATTCTCCAAAACCAACTATTTACTGACATACTACAAATAAATCCAGCTCCAGTTCCAGGTAGTTTAAGAATAGAGGAAATATCTTTCACCACCTGAAGAGAGATGATCTCACTTTATTTTTCCTAAGAAAAATGAAAATACTATGAAGGTATTGAGTGTGAGGGACTGTGTTCATTCTTCAAAATGAATGAGAGATAGAGTGGTTTCAGAGGACAGACGTGTGTCCGGAAAACTGAGATTACTTACCTTCAGTGTTTAAAAGATGAACAGGCCGAGGAAGGTCAACCTGCAGGTCACATCCAGGAATTTCTGATTTTAATCTTACCTTTTTCAGAAACAGCAACGGACCCCACCACAACTAAGTCCACAAGAACCCTGGAATCCAAGCCCACAGGAGTGCTGTAGTTCCTCACGCCCTGTGAACACAGACGTGTGCCTGAATGCTTCTTGGGCAGCGAGCGGCGGCCACACCTCACAGACCCCAGGCGAGCAGCACTCAGGGTCTGAATCAACCTCCTGCATGAGGCAAACCCATGCCCTACCACGAACACGCAGCATTGTGGAAATGGCATTTTAGGAAAACCATGGCTCAGAAACCATCTTAGGATAATTTCCCACAGTTTCTTCCCCAGGGAAGATGCCCCTTGGAACTGACAGCACAAATGAGTAAGATGTTAAGTTCACAATACTGAGCAAATCATTTCTTCCCATGAGGCAGAAGAGCACGGTGGTTAAACCACAGGCTCAGGAGTCACACAGAACCAGGTCCAGATCCCTCTTAGCCCTGTGACCTCAAGAGGAGGAAAGCTGACCTTCAGTTTCTTCCCCTCTAAGACAGAGGTGCCACCCACTGCCTTGGCGGACTGGTGCTGGAAGGGAAGATCATGGAGGTAGTGCATTTAGCACATTAAGACGTGGTCAGGAAAAGTGTGGGACAGATAATGTATAAAACACTGGGGCTGTTACCTTCACGTGTAGCATCTTCACTTCTGAAAAATTACTTGTTCAACCAAAATGCACTGAAAGTACACACGTTTACACTAACTGAGGCTTGTATTTACAGAGTACGGAGGCTGATATGGTCATGAGTCTCAGATAACAAGGGCTACAGGTCAATCTAAGAGCCAAATTAGGACACTGTACAGACCAGTGCCCGGCACTGGAGGGTCACAGCATGTGGTATCATGCCTCGTCTACAAGTACATGACAAGTCACTTACGGCATCGGTACAGGGGGTTGGTTTGGGGGCTCTCAGCAGTCAGACCACAGTCACAGGCCCACTGTGCCCCATGGTGGGAAGGCCTGTTTTGCTTAATCTCACAATGGCCATGGCAGCTGGCATCTCACACCCACGGCCCACATCCTCAGCCCTGTTTTAATGGGCTTGGTGCCTGGCAGCCTCGGTGAGCAGACACCTGTGTTGAAACTCGATCCATCAGACTTCCGCCTCCCTCCCTCGGTCAGCTTCACCTGCTCTGTTGGCCAGACAGAGTGTGAGCAACCAGGAGTCTCCCTGATTCTCCAAGGTCCTGTTTGATTCAACAAAACCTCAGGTGACAAACATTTCTGTGTGCCCACAGAGGTGGTTACTGGAAGACTCCTGAGTTAGAGAAAAAAAAGACACCGAGATCACACAGGTGGCTGGGACGTACTGGTGGCAGAGGTGTTAAGGGACAAATTCAGAAACTTCTCTGCCAAAAAGCAAGGCCACATCTGAGTCTCCTAGAGTTGACCCACATGGGGGCAGTATCTCTGCCACTAAGCTCTGGCAGCGTAAATAATGACTGCACCATGACCGGCATCTGCACACAGAGGCCCTAAAAGCCTCTCTCCCCTGTGCCATCAAGAAAACGGAAACGTCCTTTTCAGGTTCCGGTGTCTCGTGTGCTGACAGAGCCCGAACTCTGCTGCTCAATCTCTAGTGAAGTTCAGTCACGAGAGCTGGTCCGGCTCTACCCTGGGCCCAGCCACACTTTCAGGGGCACGTGTAAGGGACCAGCCAGTGCCGGCGCATCACAGGGAACTTTTGCCAACACACAACGTGGCAGTCACCTTTCAGAGGGGAGGGGATGCCGTTAAGGGCGACACAGACCACTGCAACCACCACAGGCCCCTGTGATGGACCCTCAGATACATTTGACCTGGACCTCAACCCCAGAAAGAGAACTGCTGGTACCGTCCCAAACCCACAACTCCAGAACCGCTGATCACACTCCCTGCCGGCTCTGGGAAATGTGAGCTCCTGTCTGCAGCCCGCGTCTGCCAACTGCAGACGGTCACACAGTTTGCGTTTTTGAACACCGACCAGAACCATGAATGTCTCTTATTTTTCTAATTTTCCCTTTGCAGTTTTTTCTACATATATTTTGTTTTACTTTATTACATGTACTTTTGAAAGCTATACCAAATTCTATTTTTGGAAGAAGACTATCAATAAGTAACAATAAAAATTCAATTTTTCAGTATCAGACTTAAGTGGAAAATCTTTTTTAAAAAGATTAATGCCCTATCTTGATGCCCTATTTTTTATTCCCAATAGATTAGGAATCAAATGACCTACGATCTATTCTAGGACTCTGAAAAAAATCACCAAATTCTATTTCTTTATCTGCAAAATACAAGACAAATGCCACCACAGGGCACCACGATGTAGTATTTATAAACTTAAGTTTTACTACATTGTAAACACTCAAGAAAACCACATCACTGAATTACTAAAACCATCATTCAGAACTGGTGAGGCAATTTCCAATCCAAGTATTTTGGAAATTCCTGAGTTCCCAGTTGGCTCTGGTGGCACTTAAAAAAATGCTATGGGCCACCAGACTATGGCACACGTTAACAGCAATCAGGTGCCAGACCACCCGATAACTCATTTTTTCTTCATTTTGAATAGGGAATTTACAATCTGCCAAGTTGGTGCAAAATAGAAACCAGGTGACTCAAATGGAATACATGCATCCATGGTTTTTCTACTTGGCTCCTTTACTAATAGGACTGAATACTTTGCCATCTCCACTCATTTGGCTTTGTGAAAAATGAATTTCAATTTTGTGGTGTATTGTACGCATTCTGACTCACCAGAAGTATCGGCTGAGAACAGCGCTCTCCTTGTGGGTGATGCGGCCTCCTGCACTTACCTGAGAGGTAGCACATTTCCTCAAGATGTCTTTAGTTGCCCCAGGAGGTGGTGTGATCTTATTAAATAACCCCGTTCTCAGTCGTGGTGTTGGGACCAACAATGTTTTTTTGCTCTTTTAAAAAAACACAATCAATAAATTACAAAATTAAACATAGAAAACTTCTTGTGTATATTAGCATTTCAGGGGCAGAAGCAAGTGACTATTATTGGCATCTTTTGGTGTGCGCCAAGGAAATGACTTCTTTGCAAACCCAATTACACAACGCACGGTGGTCAATCTTACTTGGGGCCACTACTCCACCCCACTTAGGATGAAGAGGCAGTGAGTTGTCAAACTCCTAAATTCTATTTTACTTGCCACTCAAAATCACTACAGATACAAAATGACAATGTAAATCCAAATGAAGGTCTGTTCTCATTAGAATTCCAACCAGAACTTTCCTGTGTCCTCCCCTCCCAGCATCACATACTACAGTTACAACGCTTCCTTTTTTTAAGATTTTTTTTTTATTTATTTGAAGGAGAGCAGGAACAGGGGGAGGGACTGAGGGAGAGGGAGGAGAAGACTGCCCACTGGGCAAGGAGCCCGACGCGGGGCTCGATCCCAGGACCCCGGGATCATGACTCGAGCCAAAGGCAGACGCTCAACTGACTGAGCCACCCAGGCGCCCAAAATGCTTTCGTTTGAAACCTGCATTGCATCATCTCAAGCCTTCATAACCAGTTTGCTATTCAATAAGTTCCAGTCTCAGAGATTAATACTCATTATAATCGCTCTTTTGTATTGACCTGAGTCCACAGGCCCCTTTTCCTCTATTTAGTTCCCAAACACCTTGTTGTGAGTCCCAGAGCCCGGATTCGCAAAGTGCACACCCCTGGCCAGCAGGTGCAGCCCCTGGACACCTGTGAGAAATGACCAGAAGCTTGGGGGCAGGCACAGCAATCTGCTTTCACAAGCCTGCCAGGTGATTCTGATGCCCAGGAAAGTTCCAGAACCACTGCTACAGGCATCTCTGCAGACTATGCCGGGGCAGGCCATGAGGCAATTGTAAAATTTTAAAATTTTCGGTGTAAAAAGAGTATATTTTAGTTTTTGTGCAGGAGATGACAGCCTGAGACCAATATAAGACCTGTAAAATCACAGGTTGGCTTACTTAAAGCCACGAGAGAAATATTTCAACACAAGTCATGACCATGTGCTCTTTTCCTTTGGAGTGTGAAAGAGGTTTGGGTTCATTCACAGTCTGAAGATTCCGGTGTACTGCACATTATGATGGTTACTCCCTCTTTTCTGGAAGCTGCTTGTACTTTAGATCACCTGGGCAGTGGGTGTGCAGACCCACTCAGAGCATCTGATTCAGAACCTGACACCAGCAAGAGATAATTTTCAAAGTTCCCTGGGTGGTGCTAACATGCAGCCAGGGTTGCCAAATGCTGGCCTGGCCAGTGGTTCTTAAAGGAACCATCAGGGGTGTTTATTAAAAAGACTCTAGGGGCGCCTGGGTGGCTCAGTTGATTAAACCTCTGCCTTAGGCTCAGGTCATGATGCCGGGATCAAGCCCTGCATCAGGATTCCTGCTCAGCAGGGAATCTGCTTCTCCCTCTTCCTCCTGCCCCCCACTCACAACTTCTGTGTGCTCTCAAAAAAAAAAAAAAGCAAAAAAACAAAAACCCCCAATAAAATCTTTAAAAAAAAAAAAAAAAAAACAGACTCTAGAAACCTACTGAAGGTCTGGGGTTGAGCCTGGGAAACTGTGTATCCCTAAGCACAGGCCACTGTGTCCCCAGGCATGGACCGTGGCCATGTACATCGGGTTCCCTGCCTATACTTAGGTGTGCCGTGGAGCATGCAGGTTTACCTGCTTCCCAAGTGATTCTTAAACCACTAAAGTTTCCATTTCCAGAAACATAGAGGATTCTGTAGCCCTACAGCCCAAGGACCATACACGTCTTTATGTCTTTTTCACCACTATATCCCTGTGCCCAGCAGAAAGCCTGGAATACAACAGATTCTCAAAGTTTGGCTTTCTTTCCCCTGAATAAACAGACAGTGAGGACCCTATTCCATCCTGCTACCTGGCTGCACTCCTCCTACAGGATGTCTTGACTAATCTCCAACACACTCAAGGCTTTGATTTGTGCTCTGATGGGCTGACAGGTAAGAACCTCATACATGCAGAGAACTGACTCTGGAGTCACAGTGTGGGTCGGAATCCCAGCTCCACCATTACCAAATGGGGGACTTGGGCAAGTCATTTAACCTCTCCGTGTCTAGCTTATTCCATGTCATATGGCAAAAGAGATCACTCCTACAGGGTTGTTGGCTAAATTAAATGAGGTAATATAGTGCAGTGTTTTGACAGAGCTTTGTCCTCACACAAGGCAACCACTCACTTCGGGCTCTTCTCTGCTATTATTTCCTCTAGTTCATTAAAGTGAATTACTGACTGGGAAAATATGGCTGGCAAAAAGAATGCTTCCAGAAGGGCCTGACTGGGAGGCTCCTATTGGGGCTGAACAGCAATCAGCAAACAATCGGCAAACAAAATCCCCTACGTGCAATCCTTGAAAGAACCAGAGGAGGATCCCTACACCCTCCTCGTTCCCTATAAAATCACTTTCTGGCATTCCCTTCTCCACACAGGCTGCAAGGTGCACTGCGTGACCAAGGCCTCCCATGAGCTGTGGGAGAGTGGAGCGGCCACACAAGGAGTGGTTGGTCGCCTAAGGAGGAACTCTGAAGATCTGGATTCGTATTATCAACAGTAACTTGTCTCAACAAAGCAGCAGCAGCTGTTAGGTTAAATCAGTGCTGATATATGGATGTTCCTGCTTGTACAGTTTTGTTTGTATTTAACTTACAGATTTATTGTGGTTTTACAGCTGCATAAGAGCTATGAACATTTAAATTTATACCAAGTTTTCTGTTTATACTTATTAAACTTAGTGAATTTAAAGCAACCCTCGGGGAGCTTTTTTTTTTTTTTTCCTTGAACAGGGGCCTAAGTATGTAAGTTAAGAAACACTGTTCTGATTTATAGATTTTGGGGACTCCATCAGATTTCTCACTCATGGGTTATCAAGTATCAAAGAATTATAATATAAAAGTAGCAGAAGGAAATAAACATAACCTTTCCCTTCTGATGAAGCACATTAGATTAAAGAGTGCCTCAAGGTCATCATTGTGAATGTCCTTTATCTTTGAATTCAGGAAGATTCATGACTTCTGACAAATTAAAGACTTCTGGACTCTTCCTGGAAAAAACAACTTCGAGGGTATATTCTGTGTGGGAGGGAGTCAGAAGCACCATCCTTCTAAATATATGAATTGAACACATTTGCCAGCCACCTGGAGGATGCATTTTATCAGTGGCCCGGGCTCTGGCCCAGGAAAATGGGATTACCTGCAGCGCCAGCAGCCGAACACCTTCCAGTGGTTTATCGGGGTCCACTTTAACTTCCTGCATTCTGGCAAAAACTTCTAGATCTCTGATGTTTTGGCAAGCCAGATAAGAGCCCTAGTTAGGCAAACAGACAGAGTTGCACTTACGTCGAGGACGAAGAAGCGAGCATTTGTCTGGGGAGCATCAGGGTTGACTTTAATGGTTCTGGCCATTCTGAACGCCTGCAAACGTGGGAAATGCTCAGCAGCATGGGAAGCACCCTGTTTTCGAATGCAATTGCACATTACTGACAGGACAGCATGATTCTGGGCCTACTGCATGCAGGAGCAGATTGGTCTAGCATCTCATTCAGACAGGTGGGGTGCACTAAGTCTGAGACAAGATCTAGGAGTTGCCCAAAGAAGTCTGGGAAAGCAGTCAGGGTAGAAAGGGGCTGAGAAAGCAAGCACCGATTTAATTTTAACCAAAATAAAACATATTCCAAAAAGGTGTAGAAAGTGTATAGTTCGATGAATTTTCACAAAACAAACATACCTGTGTAATAACTGCCTAAAACAGGAGTATATTACCACTAACCCGGAATTCCCATCCCTCTCCAAGTTGGTTCCTTTTTAAACATTTTTTACTGATTTTGTGCATCTTTCTCTTTTTCCTGTACTTCATGTATATTTCTCTCCCTGGGATAACAAGCACTAAAGCAAAACAAAGTAGCAACAAAAACGTACAAAAATAACAGTTTTTCAAAGGTCCAGGATGGCCTCAGACCCAGCTCAGCTGAGGACCAGAGAAGGGTGGGAGCTTGTTTCCAAGAAGCCATGAATGGGAAGATAAAGTCCAGCCCAAATGGGGGGTGATGGCAAGTAAATAAGCCACACACCCTTTGGGCCGGATAGAGCAACCAGTGTAATTTCAAAAAGCACTTTTGTTTTCCTTGTGGAAAACATGCATGCTGAAATTATGAGCTGTGTATGTTCGCTTGTTCAAGCAAACTTGTTTCCTATGAACAGTGTCATAAACAGACATCTTTGATTATCTTCTATTCTGAACAGTGGGGAGACTGAGGCCTGGAGTCATCCATCAGGGACCAGCGAGGCCTTCCTCTGTCCAAAGATGCTGGCCCGGGCCTCCTCTCAGAGGGCATCACTCCTTGCTGTTCTTAAGGGAGCCAATTTTGAGAAAAGGGACCACGACAATAACATGCTTCCAGCCAGGACAAATATCTTACTCCATGTCAAGTGGCAAAACATGACCAACCCACCAACCCTGCACAGAAAGGCAAGAGGCTGTAATGAAGGTTAAGGAACACAAATGAGGGACATCTCAAAATACAAAGGACATGCGGGCCAGTGGTGTGGATTTTGCACTACTACTCACTGTTCACCCAGCTTGGATCCACCGTGAAGCAGGACAGTTAACTGCATTACTAACTCTCTCGTTTAGGAATAGCCTGTTTTCCTTTTGAACGCTCCAGGAATGCTTCAGTACCTTGAAGTTGGGAATCCTGTGATGAACAGGCCGGGGAAAATCAGCTAAATTTTGTGATTCCATGTAGTCCCAAATCTGTTCACGAATGTCCTGTTTGGAAACACCTATGGCAACAAAGAGTGGGACTAGTTAACGTGGCAGAAAGGAGTCCTGCCACATGTGCAGGCCAGGCGCTGCTGGGTGCCTGCTCGAGCTGCACCCTCAGCACTCCGTCACGCCAGACCAATCCAGGGCGTCTCAGCTCTATGGCGAAAAATCAGGGTTAGTGATAAACTCACAACAATTGCTAAAGTCCAAAAACAGAGTAAATTCAAGACAACCCAGGTGTTTAACCCAGCTCTACTGAGCTATAGGAGCAGCAGAACAAAATGCAAAGCGAGCCAGGTACCCAAGCTTTCCTCGGGTCCTTGCTTGGAAACGCACACTCTGATCAGTCAACGCACTGCAATCCTTGGTCTAATTAGTTTTGACATAGTTATGATTAGTGCATGCAGACTGTAAACCCAGAAAGCCTGCCTTAAACCTAAGCACTTTGTAAACCACCTATTATTTTGGATTACCCATTATAATCCCCTTTATTAGTATAGCAATTTCTTATTCTATACCCAACTTCGGAAGTGCATTTTTTGTCAACAAATATTCTTTAATTTGATTGGAGCAGTTTTAATAAAATTTGCATTAATCATGTGTTCCTCTTGGAGTGGAGAACTATAAAAAGCAGTTTCCAGTTAGGTGGAAAAACATAAAACCAGCAACTTCACAAAGACACATTTTTAAAATATTCACTGAATTTTCATTTCTGTTGGTTCTAAAGGATATCCTCGTACTTGTACAGAAGTCTGTTTCAAATCACTTTACCTACTTGAGCTGTTTTCATAACAATTTGTCATGCGGCCAGCACTGAGAATCATGAGGCAAGGAACTCCTCATGAGGTCATCTCATTGACTGGTAAATTCTCAACACCAACGTGCCCTAACCGCTGGTGAAGAGGAGTGCTACCTACCCTGCACCATCTGGAAGTCCCCGTAGGACACACACGCACAGGGCTTAGGGAATGTGCATCTCCGAAGCTGGTGGTGAAAGACCACCTCTTCAGAGAACCCAATGTGCACTACGGCAAGATGTGAGGTTCTGCATGTACTCTGTGTGACTGGGGCACCTCTCATCACCTGAGTAGGAAGGAGGGGCAGGTACAACCCCACAGGTCCTCAGTCTCCCTTCAATGAGTGCAGGATATTGAAAAGCGACCCACAGGAGCAGCCCAGGGCCAGAGACTGCTGGGAATCACCTGGATGGCTGGTGCAGTTGGGCTGGCAGCTGGCTTCTCTCTTCTGAAATGGTGGCTTTGAATCATGTGAATCAATTATATTCTAAAATTTTATTTTTCATAAATGGACTTCGAAAACATGCAGAGGGAACTATACTGACAAGCCTCTCTCCTCGCTGCCTGCTGGGTACCAGCTCTCTTCCCCCAGGGCAATCAGTGCGCCCTTTTTTCCTCATGAATTTTCCCCCAGGTACCTCTGGCCCACACAGAAGACACTCCCTGTCATGTCCTTTCGCTAATGTGGCACACTACACAGCACACAATGCCCTGCACATTGGTACTCTTGCCAAATATCTTGCAGATCAGGCCACATGGTATACAAGAGTACCTCCGTTCTTTTGTGAGGTTGCACGGTATTCCATTGTAGGGACAGGCCAAAATTTACTCAGGAAGTCCCCTTCTGAAGGACAACAGGTGGTTTCCAATCTTGTCACCAAGGTACACTTTGCCGCCCGCCCATTTTACCTCAATTTGTTAACCCTCCACGTGTAGTCTAAGGCATAAGGGCCAAGAGCTGAAGGCTTCCACTGCCTACGCCCTCTGGCTAGGCCTAGATTTCCTCAGCATAGCATGCAGCCCAGTCCCAGAGCCTCTTGGAGCCCACTACAAACGCTTTTTGGGCCTCCTGCCCCTAGCTGTGCTTTAAAGCCATTCCAGATATCAAAACTGCAGATTTGGGTGTGCTTAGGGAACACACATCTGTATGACACGGCCTGAGTAGGCTGACACAGGCAGTTTCCAGCACTTGGCTTGTTCTTTCCTCCTGGGAGCTGTGCACTGAAGGTGTCTGCTGCCAAATCTGCTCAGCTCTCTGTCCCTTCGATAAACCCTCACTCTTCAAGGCTCGGCTTCAGCACCACCTCCAGGAACTACCCCCCCCCGTTTCTGCTCCACTGCCTGGGGATCCCTCTGTCACAGGGTCACAGGGAGCTCTAGCCTACAATGCCCTGCTGCCTACTTCAGCCTCACCTCCATCACTCCTCGCTGTGGATTTAAAATGTGGCTCAAGCATAACTGGTCCCTGCTCCCACACACCTGCCCATCTCTTTGTGCCTTTCACACCTTGGTACCTGCTCTCCCTTCAGGTCTGCCTGACACACCACATCCCCCTGGAGGTATTCAGAGAGCTCAGTTACAGGCAGCTATCCCTCCTTTAGGAACCCAGAGCGCCCTGTTTTTTCCAAACACAATTATGTTGATACAACTATAAGGTTAACATATTTATCACTTTCACTAACAACCCATGGGTGCTACAATATTCCCAACGCCTTGCAGTATACTGTGTAGGGACACAAGAAACATAAGAAATTGTGACCCTTGCTCTGGGGAATCAATTAATCACAAACATCTGAGTGACTCCCACTTAGAAAGCAATAACGGTGATTGGGAGGAGCAGCTAGAGTGAAAGGGCAGGTCCCTGCCCTTGGACGAGTTACAAAAACATGGGGAATGATTAGGATAATAAAAGGCGACATATATTTGGCTGAAATGCCTGAGCCCTGTTGTGTAATTGCCTACTTGCTTCCCTCAACAGGCTGTGGCTCTGTCGGGTCAACTAGGGTCTCATCCTTCCACCTCTCACTCGGAGTTCAGTCCTGGCATTTGGCAGGCATCTGAATTAGCAGAATCTCTGTACCGAGCTGTTTACATGCTGCACACTTGGTAAGGGCAGTTTATTTATTCCCAGGTGTGGAACCTGGCTTTAACAGGCTCTGGCTCGCCGTGGGCTTCAGCACTGGGGGCTGTCTTTGCCAAGCAATCCCGCAACAATCACCAAAGCTCTTCTCCACAGACGGTGACCTCCTAAAGCCCAGGGGCAACGAAGCAAGTGTTCCCAGCGCCCGGGCAGAGCCTGGCACAGCGAGGCCTCGGAAAGCATTTCAGAGGACAGTGATTAAGCGGCCCGGCGGCTAAGCTAGGTTGGTTTCCAGTCCTGCTCTGCCACCAGCTGTGAGCCGTGGTCCCCTCGCCGCACCGTGGGTATGCTACTGCGGATCTCACAGCTGGTGGTTACGATCGATCGGCACGGGGCCACGGACACCACCATGCGCACGGCAAGGGGTCCTCTCTCTCTTCTCCCCGTTATCGTCACTCCACCGACAGGGTCGGGCATCAGGGTCCGAGACCGGCGCCGGTTGGACCCCCGAGCCCCGCTCAGCGCCCTCCGCGTCCCCTCCCGCCTGTCCGGTGGTCCCGCCCGTCGGATCCCGGCGGCCCCTCCCCCGCCGCCCCCCGCCTGCCCCTCAGGTGGGTCCCTCGCGGCCCCTCCCCCGCCTAGTCCTCAGGTAGGCCCCCACCCGCCTCTCCCGCGGGTCCTTACCCGTCTTCAGCTCCATGACGACGCAGTCAGTACGCGACGCCTCCAGAAGCCGAATCCGGCGCGGAGTGACGTCACCCGCTCGCGCGCTCTCCCCGCGCCTGCGCGCTGACAGCGAGGGGGGGCGGTGGCGTCGCCGTCGAGGCCTGGAGGGAACCGCCCCGGGCGGGCTTGCGCGTGCGTCTCCGCGGGCTGGGTGGAGGGACGTGCGGGGGAGGCCGGCGTGGTTCCTGGGCTGTCATTTGTTCGCGGAGCAACTGTGTTGAGCGCCTGTTCCCAGGGGCGTTTGTGCGGCGCTGGGGCTACCGAGGCGAAGAAGCCCCTGGCCTTTCTGAGCCCACCGCAAATTCCACCATACCCCATCTCCTTTTCTGTTTCCCCAGAGGCCCCCTCCTCCTGGAAGCCAGCCTTGATTGCTCCTCCAGGATGTGATTCCAATTCTCTGAGAAAGACACCCAAGTGCTCACACCTGGGTGTGCGTCTGCCTCAGCTGTGGACACTTTAAAATGTCAGGTTGTAGGGGCGCCTGGGTGGCTCGGTTCGTTCAGCCTCGGACTCTTGTTTTCAGTTCAGGTCATGAGCTGATGGTCGTCGGATGGAGCCCCGCGTCGGGCTCTGCACTCAGCATGGAGTCTGCTTCAGAGTCTCCCTCTCCCTCCTGCCCTCTCTCAAATAAATAAATAGAATCTTTTAAATAAAAAAAGTAAAATAAGATGTCCGGTTGCTGGAGTGGGGTTCACTGCAGGTGGGATGGTGACCGGCCTGGGTGCTGGGTGAGTTGAGAAACACCTCTTGATTTTTCCGTGGCCTCTGTATCTCCTAGGGACTGGAAGAACGTGGCAGCCTGCCTTTGTTGGCTTGTACCATTCCTTCAAGGCGTAGGGTGTGTCAATCTAAGGGCCAGGAGGTGGCTCGGGAGATGGGGCTGAACAGCCCAGCCCAGCTGGAGTCCTCTCTGGGCTCCACTCCCGCGGGAGAGAGAAGGAGGTGCATTCACGCTTTAGGAAGATGACCCCTCCTCCCAAAATGAGGCCGTGGCAAACCCAAGTCACCAGTAACCACCTCCTAATGAGTAATGCACACCCTTAGCAGTGTACCTCGTGCATCGTAAGCATGCAAGAAGTGGCAGCTACTGTTCAAAATTATATATCCAATACTTGATAAGGTCCCCGCAACAAACTTGTGAAACAGACGCAGCATTTTAGTACCAGCTTCAAGACAAAGGTGGGGAAACAAGGTTCTGGGTGTTGCAGCGACTTATCGAAGCTCCCTTCAGAACTAATGCTATACCCTTTGTCTTTATCAGATAGAACATTATCAGTGCAGTAAGAAATGCTGCTACAACTGTGCCAGGCACCAGGCTAAGGGCCTTAGAAATCATACCTAAATATAGTCCTCACAACAGCCGTGAGCAGCAGATGTGACTGGCATTCTACAGGGGAGGGAACAGAGGCTCGGGATATTAGCGAGCCTTGCCCAGAGCAGCCCGACTGGGAAAGGGCAGCGCCTGTGCTTAATTATAAATCTCATGGCTCCCGGTCTCAGCTCTACATTCCTGGGTGGTATTCATGGCGTTAATACATAAAGACATTAACAGGCCTTCATTCCACAAGAGGGGGGCCATGTCTCTTACAGGCTGGCAAAAAGGAGTGCAAAGCTTTGCTTTGGGCAACAGAAGGTTATCAAATAAAATCTCTCAGGGAGGTTGGTGTCCTTTCCCACTTTTGGGAAAACACAGTGGATCTGTGGAGAATATTTTATGCAAACGGACCTGGCCGCAGCAGCAGAAATGTGTGCGGGACTCACTGTTAGCCAGCTGTGCTCAGAGCAGCGCCCAGGGTGCTAACCAACCCAAGTCCCTCAGGCAGACAGGCTGGTGCGTCCCCCAGAGAGTAACAAAGCCACCCACTGGGGACAAACTCCCTTCCTGGCAAACGTCAGAAAGCAGAGGGCACTCCCCAGGACATTCCCTTGGGCCCTTTCATTCCCTGTTGCCAAATTAGAAGTGCTCCCAAAGCCCAGGCACTTAAAAGAATAATTATGAAAGAGAGACCCCTTAAGAAGAAATGAGTTGGCTCTCCCGCAAAAAGATGTTCTAGAACTTTGACCCAAATGCTTCAAACTCAATCCTATATGTAAATTTGCCCTTGGGTCACTTAAGAGTTTTTTTCAAAGAGTTTTAATAGAGCCATTTTAGGTTCACAGCACAATTGAGCCAAAGGTACACAGAGTTCCCATACACCGCCACTAGCCCCCCCTACCTGGCACAGCTTCCCCCAGGATCAGCATCCCACACCACAGCAGTACCTTTGTCACCATCACCTCTGACACATCATTATCACCATGGACTGAATGTTGGTGTCCCCCACCCCCTTCATATGTTGAAGCCTAATGCCCAATGTGGTGGCTTTAGTAGGTGGAGTCTTTGGGAGGTGACAGGTCATGAGGGCAGAGCCTCCACAGTGCGAATCTTGCCCTTACAGAGGGGACTCCAGAGAGCTCCCTCACCCTGCCCCTTCCACCATGGGAGGACATTAAAAAGGAGACAGGCATCCATGAACCAGGACACGGGTTCTCACCGGAGACAAAATCTGCTACCACCCTTGACCTTGGACTTGCCAGCCTCCAGAGCTGTGAGAAAGAAATGCTTGTTTAAGTTGCCCGATATACAGTATTTTGTCATAGCAGCCTGACCTGACTAAGGACACCAAAGTGGACACCCCACGTCCAGAGTTTACAGTAGGGGGCGCTCTTGGTGGTGGACATTCTATGGGTTTGGACAGAATGGTCTCACTGCCCTAAACGTCCTCTGCTTCGCCTATTCACCACCCCCCCTTAGTCCCTGGAAACCACTGATATTTTACTATCTCCATATTTCTGTCTTTTCCAGGATGTCATAGAGTTGGAGTTGCACAGGATGGAGCCTTTCAGATCGCCTTATTTCACTTAGTGATATGCCTCTTCCATATCTTTTCAGGGCTTGGTAGCTCTTTTCTTTTTAGTGCTGAATAACAGTCCATTGTCTGGATGGACCACAGTTTATCCATCACCTATGGAAGGACACCTTGGTGGCCCCCAGCATCTGGCGATGACGAACAAGCTGCTGGGACACCATGTTTAGGTTCACTTGAGGGTTTCACAGCTTGTCACAACATTGCCTTGTGAGTTCTCACAACCCCTTTGAGCCCAGCCAGAGGGAACACATCGTGAAAAAGGCAAGAGCATGAAGAGCTTGGCCATGGATCTCCAAGCCGTGTGACATTGGGTAATTAACCCCAACTCTCTGGGCTTCTGTTCCCTTTTCTGTACAAAGTGGGGAAGTGATTCGTCCATTAGCATCGGTGAGAGGACAGGGCGGGCTGGTCCACGGGGAGTCTGAGCACACCCAGCCCGCAGCAAGCATGCTGTCATCGTCCCATCGCCATCCTGTTAGACAGACGAGAAGGTGTTGAGAGATGAGGTCCAGTGATTCACCCGAGGTGCTGGGGTGCTGACAGCCAGGCCTCGCCCCGCGTGTGCTTCTGAAACGCCAACGCTTCCAGCCCTTAAACTGCAGGTACAGACTTAACATAGTAAATGCCACCTTCTGCTCTCTGCTCCCCGACTCCCCCTGCATCATATATACACACACACACAGACAACACACACACACAACTCCTAGAGTGCTAAAAAGAAAAACACACACACAAATAATTTTTACAACAACCAAGACTGGTTCCTGAGGAGCTAGAAGGTTCCCTCCTCCCTTCAGGCTTTCCTCTGTCATCTGGCTTTGCTCTTGAGTTATGTGCCTTCACCCATCCTGGGATCAGGTGAGGCCCTCCGTCAGCACCTGGCACGTCATTGGAGATTCTACTCTAGCAAGAGGAGGATGCCCCGAGTGTCACCGTGTCGGCTCCCTCTTCCTGCTGACACCACCCAGGCCAAGGGTGTGTCACCATGCTTGGGGCAGCAACCGTCTCCTGTCTGCTGAGCAGGGAGCCCGATGCGGGGCCCGATCCCAGGACCCCGAGATCATGACCTGAGCCGAAGGCAGACGCTTAACCGACTGAGCCACCCAGGCGCCCCATCCTGTCTCCCAGTTCTGTCCGCTCCCAGGCACCGCCTCCTCCCACCCTCCTCCTCTGCTTGCCCTCTGCCCACCTGCATTCCCCCTGCATATCTTCCCGCTGTGACCTCCCGGCTCCCCATGGCCTCCCACCTCGTAGAGCACACACTTCCCGCCTTTCGGGGCCACCAACTCGCACACTCAGCCCCCTCTCTCAGCCAAACCTTGTCTCTATCAGTTCGACTTTGCCCTTCTCTCTCCTGCTTTTGTTGGTGTTTTTCCCATCCCAGAAAGGCCCTCCCGCACCCCAAATTGGCCTGGTGGCGAGCAGCAGGGAAGGGTGGGGGGCCAAGAAACTACTCTAACAAAGCGGGGATGGACTTGAAGAGGCATTACTTGGAGGCACAAAGAGGACCTGCGCTGGGTCCAAACACACCTCCTCCGGGAGCTGGAGGGAGGCGGAGGGAGGGCGGAGTAGTGCCGCACAGAGCTCTGGCATCCTCGGGTGAACCCAAATGCTAATTTAAAATATACACAGTGTACTGCAGTTATGCAACAGGGACAACCGGGCGCCATTTGGGTCACGTTTTAAAACATCCCCTTGCACACGGGAACCAGCCGGTTTCTTCTAAGGAAACGTATGGCCATCTTTAAACACAGAGCAGGCAGGCAGAGGATCAGTCATCCTCGCCAAGGAGAAATAGCAGCAAAGCCTGTTGTATTGAGATATGTTGGGTAGCGAGATATGTAGAAGCAGTGGGAGGGGTTCACGGTCTCTGTGAGTGTGGGGGGAGGGTGTCGAGAAGATGCTCCTTTGGTTTTAAAGTCTTCTGTGCTCTTGGGATTTTTAACCATGTAGTGTATGGCGCTCATTCTTTTAAAAAAAATCAGTATAACTTCTTTCATATTTTGAGCCACGAGCAATCCATTGACACCTCTCCCATCTGTCACAGAGCCAAGTAAAGACCTTCTCCTGTTATGCTCCCTTGAACT